ATGCCCAAAAATAGATGACTGGATCAAGAAGATGTGGCATATATACACAATGGAATATTATTCAGCAATCAAAACAGATAAATTCATGCCATTCACAGCAATGTGGATGGAGCTTGAAGGAATTATGCTCAGTGAAATAAGCCAGAAGGAAAAAGAAAAATATCGGATGGTTTCACTTATAGCAGGAATATAGGGGAAACAAACAAGACATCAGTGTAAAAAAATAGTAATAACCATATAAAACACAACAAAGCAAAAACAGACAATTATAAATCAGACACACTGCAGGGGAGGAGGAGGGAGAGGGGTTAGAGGGAGGGAGGGAGGAGTACAGGGGACTGTGGTGATGGTGCTTGGGTGCTTTGGGGAAGGAAATTCTATGGGGACTCTGAGCAGGTGGGGGATGTTTAAAAATAAAAATAAATAAAAATAAAATAAAATATTCACTAAAAAAAAAAAAGATGATGGTGATGATGATGGTGACAACAGAAGCAACTAACCAGCACTAGGAGGCATATTAGTTACCATCACTTTGTGCTTACTATATACATAATTTCTTCTTTCTAAAAAAGATTTATTTATTTATACAAGAACTGGGATGCACAGGAGGGTAAGAGGATTCACCAGAGACAGAGTGGGGAGCAGAACAGGCAGACTAACTGAAATACACTGCTGAGGGGAGCAGCGGGCGTGGTAGGAGAGGTCTGCCATGCCCTGTGGGATTCTCGCCGGCCAGAGGGATTGAACCTGCGCTGTAGAGGTTCACAGTGCAGTGCTTAACCCCCTGCGCCACCAGGGAGGCCCATAATTTCTTTTATTCAAGCACTGTCTCACATAATTCTCATTTTAAAAAATCCCAGTGACTAAGAGGTTCCCCAATCAGGAAACCCCAACCCATCTGTCCTCAGAGCCTGGGTTCTAAGAGGACAGAGTATGCACTCAGTCATTGTGTGACTAACCACTATGTCAAGGCCTGGGAAGTCAGGGGCAAGACAGGCAATGACCATGAGTTGGGTGGGCCGAGCCTCCAGGAGGCTCTGCTCAAACAGGCAGCTTTCAGGCAGGCTTAGATCTTGGGTTAAGTCTGCTGGTGCTCTGCCCTGTGGCCCCTTCCAGGCACAGGGTGACCTCCAGCTGGAGTGAACGGCCAAATGATTGTTTGCAGTTTAGCAGGAAGCTGTTTGAAAGGGTCATTGAAAAATGATCTTACTAAATCAAGCTGTACCAATATTTTTATTTCCTTTCATGAAATGCCACATTTTGAGGCATTGGATAGGGCTGTTTATAAAGCCTGGGAAACAAGTTTGTGTGACTTAAGTTCAGAAAAACAAAGGCATCCCATTCTTCTAGAAGAGAGAATAGAACAAGAGGGATGGCATGCAAGTCCTTGCTTTCAGAGCAAGTTCTTGCTTTCAGCATCTAATAGATGTTTAACAAATGCGTACATCCAAATCCAAAACACTTTTTCAGATAAATGTCATGTGACATGACCTTTGTACATTTTAAAGCATCCCCTAATAATTTGTGAAAATAAGAAAGTAGTAGAGAAAATTAATTGTATGGCATACAGCTTGTCTTTTAAGTAGATGTAAAATCAGTCACTTCTTTGGGAAATGGCTTTACAGTGTGTAAGTGGAGAAAAAAAATTCAAAGCTGACTTCCCAGGTGCCCCAAACGCCACCTACTACTGCACCTGAACTACAAAGAGCATAGGAAGAGGTCAAGCCTGGAACCCTACTGATTTCCATATTGGGGTCACTGGGCATGTGTTCACCTTCACCTCTCTCCATACAGTGTGTTTTGCTGGTGAGGAAAGCAGACGAAAGACGTATGGAAGCCCCCAACCCAGTAAGGACCACTGAAGCAAGGAAGTGGAGAAAATACTAGAAAACAGAGTATAGGAAGGAAGGATATTTCCTTTTTCACAAGGATATCAAGGATCAACTTTGAAAATGAAATGTAAGAGTTTTAGAGCAGAAATGAACCAGTTTTATGGCTAAGGAAAGGGGCCTGGACTTTGGAGGAAGGTTGCTGCTAGGCCCACCAGTCAAACAGAGGTGGAGAGACTGGGAGGCTCTTGGCTCTCCTACAGAAAACCTCCCATCATTGGTGCTGTGCACAGAAAAGCCTCCTAACAATACCAGGGAAAGTGTAATTCAGGCAAATGGGTGGTAATTTTAGGGTGACATATTAAGGTCATAGTAACAATGACTAATATTTGGCAGAAAAGCTACTAGAAAGGGAGAGAGGACTCTTATTTTCTAGCAGACCCCCAAACTCTCTGCTTCCTTTTTAGCCTTTTATATGATGTCTAACAAAATTGGATATTTTACAGATAGATTTAACCTCCAACTACCTGTGAGGGAAATGACCCCTTCAGAATAACTTCCACTTTATAAGAGAAAGGCATGTGTAGTTAGCCACTGTGGGGACGGTCTGTCTGGAGGGATCTCATGAGCTCAGTAATTACAAAACCCAAATGCCCAGTGCCTTCTGAAGTTCAGCTGCAAAGACAGTCAAAGAGTTCTAAGGTTGCAGGTTGTGTACCTGAGGCCTCTCTTGCTGATTCTACCTATTAAATAGGAATATTTTCATTTTTTTTAATGAAAGGAAAAGTCAGGCAAATTAAAAATAAAACTGAGATTTATAGTTAGAATGATGATGTTTACTTTTTCTCTTTTGGTGGAAAAAATGGGAACTGAATTGGTCACAAAAAGAAAAAGCTGATGCCTTACAAGTTCTCCCTGAAGATGGACTAGGCAGTAGAGGTCATGGTGATAGTAAATGGTCTTTCAGGACAGCTTCTCAGACTTTGAGCACATTCGAGTCACCTTGGATCTTGTTAGAATGCAGACTGATTCAGACTGATTCTGAGATTCTGCATTTCAAACAAGCAGCAGGTAATGCTGATCTGCAGACCACACTTTGAATAGCAAAGCTCTACAACCCATCAAGAACTTTTTTGGGTGGTTCTCCAGCTTGTCCAGGTGGATGACAATTTGTAAGTCATGAGGCTTTTCAGGAAATGTATCTAAATTCAGTATAAAAACAACTGATCTTATAAAATAGTACTATGCCAGTCTAATCCATGACAAAAGCTGGCTATCAAACAGTTAAATGTAATTTGGGAGTAAAAATGCTTTCCATGGCACTTACACATATAAGCTTCCAGAAATGTCCAATCTAAAGAGGTTTATTATCTATCTGCTACCAAGAATCCAAAATCAAGTGAAAGGGCATTCTTTCTGTAATTGAGTTCTAGAATGAGGGCACCCTGCTTTGGAAATCACTGTCACAACAGAACGTTGCAAGGGCATGTATAAAAGGATATTTCTAGAAAATGCCAAAGGCACCGAATGTAACCCCAGCTTTGCCTTCTGCTCCCTCCCAGTGGCATTCCACACCCTGAGCCAGGAGCTACTTTGTCCAACTGACTTCGGGAAAGTCACAGTACTTGGTGAGTATGTCCAGCACGGTGAGTGGGGGATTGTCGGCTGAAGTTCTGACTCCTTCCTGGTGGCTTTTGTGCTTTCTTCAGGATCTTTTCCATTTGTTGCTTTTTCTGAGTCTTCTCAAAACCCACCTGGGCCAGAGTCCACTTGTCCAGGCCACATCGATTCTCCTCATTGTTTTCCCTTGTTCCCATTACTTTCAGGACATCATGTTTTTATCTTTTTCTTCTTCCACTTGGTCATGCTGAGCTCTACAATGCTGTTTCAGCTTTGGGGGCTCCCTTTGGGCCGCCTTGCATAGGTCTCCAAGGCACCAGTCCTGATATAATTCTTCTATCTACTCTTCACATCCAACATGGTTATTTGGCCAAGGATCCCATTGTAGCTGGACCTGGGACATTTTAATGGCTTGACGCCTATTAAGAATTAATAGGAATCGAGTGCCTTGACATTTAACAAGCCCCTCTGCTATACTAATGCATTTGGTTCTTATAAGGCCTCTTTGAAGTCAGGCAGGCAGTGCTATCCTTGTTTTACCTGAGATGGAAATGAGGCTGAAAGAATGTTAAATTCAGAGCCAAGGTTCAGGCCATTCCCTTTCCTCACATCACTGCCTGGTGTTTATTTTAAAGAATTTACTTGTTTTAGTGCCAACCAGCAGACCGACTACTAATCCAAACATCTAAAATTCTACAATTAAAATAATAACTTTTGGGTGTTTCTCTCTCTAAATACATTCTTTAATGTTAACATTACCAATTCTAAGTAACACCCATAGTTACATACTTGGGAAAAGCTACCCATAGGAGCACCTGGTAGTAGTGTGGAAGCTAGGGGGCTAGCACTTGGGTCTCCTCAACACTTTCCTAGCCTGCTTCTCAGAACTCATCCCACCTTGCACACAAGATTTGAACTTAAAATTGACAAAGGACCCCCAGTTGTGTGCTTGCCCTAAACACTATACAACTCTTGAGAGCACAGTGAAGTATTAGCTCAGGCTGGGGAAGGAGTTTATGGATCCTCAGAAGCAGCCCAAAAAGGGCTTAAAATCATGAACTTGCCTGTTAAATAAAGAAAGCATTGGTTTTGGAGTTCAAATCCTTACTCGGTTTCTTAGTTGATTTTCTTTTTTCTTTTTTTTTTTTAATTATCTTAGTTCATTTTCCTTGGGCAAGTTACCTACCCTTGCTAGGTCACAATTATATCATCTACAAGCCCAAATAACACACACAGCAGAGATGAAGAGAAGCAGCTAGTACAGAATCAGGTAATTAGGTAAGGAAGTGACCAGTGGAGAGTGATTCAAAGCACAGAAAGCCTGCTACAGAGCACTGCTCACAGCCTAATGAGCAAAGCAAGGTAGAATTTGTAAGTGTTAAAGGATATGAACAAGGTGGGATTTTTTGATTAAAATTTTATATAGTTTACTAATCATGAAGAATACAAAATAACAAATTAACTTTGCATAAGTTGCTTCTGGCATCAAGGAGATGAATTTTCCTTTGTTCTAAGTTTGTGAATGTACAGTAGGAAGCACAAAATATTTACCTTTTCCAGGGCCTCTCTGTCAAGTAGTTCCTGCACAGCTAGAAGCTTGATGCTGTAAGAAAAAATTAAAACCACACTGAAAACAAGTCATCTCCTGTTACCAATCATCCTACACGGCACAAGAACAAAAGTCTAAAATTTCAGCCTGTGTTTCTGTGTCACCTCCCTTCTTTAGGTCACCTTTGACTTGAATTAAAATGACCATTTCAAAACTATTAAAATTGTTTCTAAATTGTAAAAGTGATTTTACAATCAAGCTCAGGAATTCAGCAACATTAAGTATCTTCACGCTGCTGTGCAACTATCATCACTATCCTTCTGCAGAACTTTTTCTCATCCCAAATGGAAACTCCATGTCTGTTAAATAGCTCCTCATTCCACCCTTCTACAGTCCCAGGTAATCACCATCCTATTTTCTGCCTCTTTGAATTTGACTATATTAAAACATAGCAAAATTAGCAAATTTACCAGCAATTCCAATTATGGGCCTGTACTCAACAGAGTTGAAAACAGGGACTCAAAGAGATTTATGTACACCCATATTTACAGCAGCATTATTCACAATAGTCAAAAAGTATAAACAACCCAAACATCCATCAATGGATAAGTAGATAAACGAAACATTGTTTATGCCTACAATGGAAAATTATGTAATCTTAAAAAGAAGGAAATTCTGACACACGCTACAACCTAGAGCAGCCTTGAGGACACTATGCTAAATGAAATACACCAGACACAAAAGGACAAATACTCCATGATTTCACTTACATGAAGTACCTATAATTATAGGTACTTAGAGAGAGATGGAAGATAGTATGGTGGTTACCTGGGATGGGACGGGGGGAGAAGAGGGAGGAATGAGGAGTTGTTTAATGGACATGGACTTTCAGTTTGGGATGTGGGAAAAGTTCTGCAGAAGGATAGTGATGATAGTTGCACAGCATGAGAAAGTATTAATGTTACTGAATTTAACATTTAGGAATGATTAAAACAGTAAATTTTATGTTACGTACATTTCACCACAAAAAATTCTAAGAGCAATTGACAGCTACTTCATGTAAGGAATTTGAATGGATTTCAAGGAATATAAAGAAGAAAATAGCTGCCTGTGTTCAGCAGTTATATTTCCTTGTTCCTCTGATGAGCAAAGCAAATAGCTAAAATCACTGCTTCCTAAGAGGGTTGGCTAAGCTTTTCATTTGCTTACCACACATCAGTTGCGCCCTACTGTGCGCAGGTGACTCAGGATGCATGATAACTATGGCATGCTCACTACCCACGAGGAACTCACAGTTTCTTGGAGGTCACAATCAGACCAGAATATGAAATGCAGTGTGTCAAGTGGACAGGATGAGATACAGAGTAGAGCCCAGCTCAGCCCAGCAGAGGCGAGAGAAGGCTTCAGGGAGCAGGGACTGTGTTAGCCTCCTCAGTGGAGGGGCTGGGGAAAACACAGACCTACAGAGGGACAGCAGAGGCAAAGGCACCAGTGGGGAGGGTGGGAGTGGGATGTACACAATTTGCCTGTTTGCAGATTAGGGGCCAATACCCAGGCTGCAGCCAGCAACTAGGATATGAGAACTCAGAAGCAGATGTAGGTTTTGCAGGGGTGGCATCTTCCCTTTCAGTGATGTTGTGTTTGTGAACACAAAGACCACATAGCTGAAGCTGAACATGTCGGCACAGGAGGAAGAAGGAGAGTTCAAGGAAATTGTTTAGGGAGTGGGTCAACATGCAGGGTCCTCCAGAGCAGAACTGGGCCCCTCCCACACCATGCACTTCTCTCAGAAGGGGCTGGGCCCATGCTGTGGGTCACTTTAATTTAAAAAATTCTTTGTCATCAATATATAACTAAGTAAACACTGCCCAACTAAATGTACTGACTTACTTAAAAGCAACTCCAGAATGTGCAATTAAAGTTTTAAAGGCTTGTAAGAAACTACCATCATCACCAACAACAATTTAGGAGACAGCAGGGCTGATGGACAGGACTCTGGGCATTCTTTCTGCTCCCATCAGATTGACTTTCTTTCACCTCCTAGACATATTTGTTTCTGTTGTTTCTCTGGCTTACAGGGTTGTCTCTAAGAACTCTATAATGCCAACACTATCTCATTATGCCATTCTAGTCCAAACAACACAAAAGTCATGTTCTTCAAGCAGTGGTGCTGGTCATCATATTTTATTTTCTTCAGCAGAATTGACGGTACCTTAAAACATTTATCTGTTGGGGTGTTTTGTTTATCTCATCCCAACCAGCATGGGAGTTCCTTGAGGCTAGGGGCTCGAGGATCTTCTGGATACTTCATTTGAAGTGCCTCTATCTAGCAAGTGGGTAGCCCTCAAGGAATTTTTATGATCAACTGGCAAAGTCAGGTTGCTATGAAAGCTCATCCATGGCAGCTTGGATGGGTAAAATCACAGGCTAAGCCTCAGTTTCTTCAATTGAAAAGAATGTCTTGAGTTACTCCATCATGCTGTATGTCCCCTATGTAAGCAGGAAGTATACATGCTATTATGAAACTTCTTGTTGGCCTGTTCTCTTAAAAGAAGGGAAAAGAAAAAGAATCTTTCAAATGAGATGTCTGTGTGTGTCCTCCCTGGTGAGTGGCACTTCATGCATCTGTGTAAATGCAGCCATTAATGGGATGTGCCTGGTAACAGGTCAGAGCTATTAGCCACCATTCAGCACATTCTGATTTCCAACACATGCATTGAGAGTTCAGGTAATCAACTTGGATGGCAACTTACATGCTAAGTTGGGAGTTTCCAATTGTAACTCAAGTTTCAGAAGCTTAAATTGCTTCTGAAATAACCAGAGGAAAATATTTATATTGGAGGAACTTATTAAAAAGTCTCTCATTCCTGCCCCTCTCCAAGTCATGATGTCTAATTTAGGGTGAGCCAACAATAGGTTAGAGAGGTATAAACACTGTTAACATATCAAACTCTCTTTTTCTCCCTCTTTGCAAAGATTTACATTCATACCACTGTAGAAACTTATCTGAAAACCAACAGTCCTAGGCTCTGAATGAAAATGAAATAGAAACAACTTCAGTTGTCTCTTACACAGGCCAGAACTCTACTCTCACCACTACTCTCACCACTACTCTCACCACTTGCATTTAAAGGAGAGAGCATACACTTGACACGAACATTGCTGCTCTCCAACCCTCTCCACCTCTTTCCAAAGAACCTTTCCCCATTTAACTCAGATAAAGCTTCGGAATCCTCCACAGTCTAGTGAGCCACAACCAATCTCACAAAGCTCATGTGTGAGCTAAACCATTTAACATTTTCTCTCTCATTTTTCATCATCAAATAGTACTAATACATGGAGAGTGGTCAGAAAAAAAAGAGACAGTGTCATATTATTAGAATCCAGAAATGTAAGGGTGAGAGCTTTAGGGACAGGGGTAGAAAAGAGAGAGAGAACTCTATATGGCTTGTGTTTCAAAATAGAAACAATTCATGTTATTAAGAAGCTACTGTAATTGTTCAAAATGCTGGTTTTCTTCAGAAAGCTGTTTGTTCTTCCTTAGAGCTGTAGTCTTTGATAGAACAGAGATATTTCCTATTATGTAACTGCCCAATGTTATTTTTACCTTATAGGAAATTCTTCCAGTTTGGAGGATTTATTTCAGTATTTATGGTATCAGGTTCTTCTAGTACATCAGATACTCCCTGCAAGGAAATTTCACATATATGAAGTAGCAACTAACTTGTTTACCAAATCCTGCATTTGACAGCTCTAACTTATTATCCTGGAAGAAAATCTCATCTCTCATTTTCAATATAGTTCCTCCTTCCCTCCCTATCTCTTTCCTCTCTTTCTTCCATCCTTCTGCTAATTCTACAAGCACATACTGAATACCTCCTATCTTTCAGAAATTTTGCCAGGCACTGAGGAGACAAAGATGAACACAGTATCATCCCTTCCCTCAGAGGACCCATAGAAGCTAGAATGCAACTGGGGTACAAGCCCAAGAAGGTGTGTCACCCTGAGACCCCCCCGGGGTCCACATGGACTGGCAGAGCTGAGCCAAGTGAGGCATAGCTGTTGGGTAACCTGGTGCCTGGTCAGCATCCTCTGAAAACAGCAGCTCCCATTAGACGCAAGCTGTAATGTGGTGCAATTTCTTTTCCTGTACTCTACTTTGAAAGGAGGAAAATCACACAAAAGCAGCTGATAGCAGTTATATATTTAGAAAATTGACAACTTCAAGGGAAGTTCTGAAGTCAAGATAGGCAACACCTAGAAAAACCTAGAATGACTGCAAGTAATGTTTGCTAAATAAGCTACAAGGAGTTGAGGTGCCTGAGGGTAGATAGCTGGATAGCACTTGGGACAGTGAGGTCCATAATGGGATTAGAAGTGGTGCTGCCTATTGAGTTTGTTTTGTTTTACCTTTTAAGCTTCTACAACATACCTTTACAGTAAATTTTAAAGAAAGGAACATGCTTATATATTTTCCCAAGTTCTCATATTGATGATGTTTTTCAATTTGGCTTCATATACAAGAGAAAATGAGTATAAACTTGTTCATTTACAACATGACCTCCAAAACTTTGTGGACAGTTTACAAACTTACTTGACAACCAGAACTTTTAATGTTTCAGATTTCAGACCCCACACCTAGATAGGAATAATCAGGGCCATGGAAACATATCTGAATGAAAATTTCTCAGATGACACTTTCATGTCACCGGCTACATCCTATACAGGCTCTCTCAATCCAGTGCTATTTGTCTCATCATCATCAGTGATGCCACCAAGATTCTGGAGAAGACTCATTTGTCAGTCATTCTTAGTTTTTGCTGGCCTATGGATTTTTTTAAAAGTTTTCTGTGTTATAGAGGGTATCTCAGGAAGAGATTGGGGTGGGGTGGCAGAAGTCAAGGGCACTGGAGCCAAGGTGGAGCCTGTATCTTTCTCATAAGCAAGATGATGGTTTTGGAAGCAGCCAAATGCTTCCAGAAGTGGTGTCTCTGAGGGGAAGGATGATGTCTGGTCTCCTGTTTTTAGCAACTATATTGTTCAGCAAGTGGAAA